CCGGCAACGAAGACAGAACAGCGACCAAAGGATGGAACTCCGGCAATGAAGGCAGAACAGCGACCGGAGGATGGAAGAACTCCGACAACGAAGGCAGAGCAACGATCGAAGGATGGAAGAACTCCGACAACGAAGGCAGAGCAACGATCGAAGGATGGTACTCCAGAAACGAAAGCGGAACAGCGATCAAAGGATCGGACTCCGACAACGAAGGCAGAGCAACGACTGAAGAGTAGCACTCCGATGATGAAGGCAGAACAGCGACCAAAGCATGGAAAAACTCCGACAACGAAGGCAGAGCAACGATCGAAGAATGGTACTCCGGCAACGAAGAAAGAACAGCGACCAAAGGATGGAACTTCAGCAACGAAGGCAGAACAGCAATCGAAGAGCGGAACTCCGATGACGAAGGCAGAAAAGCGGCCGAAGGGTGGGACTTCGATAACGAAGGCAGAGCAACGGTCGGAGAATGGTACCCCGGCAACGAAGACAGAACAGCGACCAAAGGATCGAACTCCGACAACGAAGACAGAGCAACCACCAAAGGATGGAACCGCAACGACGAGGAAAGGGCAACGACCCAAGCGGAGAACCCCAGTGGCAAAGACAGAACAACGATCGAAGAATGCCACCCCGCTGATGAAGACAGAGCAACAACCGAAAAATGGAACTCTGACGGAGGCGACGAGGACACAGCAACAACCAGAAGGTGGGACTCCAGTGACAAAGGCACAGCAACGACCGGAAGGTAAAGCCACGACGACGCGGGCAAAACAACAACCGAAAGATGACACCGCGACGTCGAAGGATGGACAACGGTCGAAGGGTGGAACGCCGGCGATGAAGAAAAGGCAGGAACCGAAACGAGCAGCTGCGATTGAAGGTTTTTTTGTGAAATTTTAAATTTCTAAACAGTAAATTCATCCTTTCGACTTTAGCTACCAACTGAAAATGATTTTTTTCGTTTTTTCTCGAATTTTATAAATTTTCTGTAATAATTTTGTCCAGCCACAGTTCACTGTCCTTGATTCATCAACTATACAGCTGACAACTTTTCCAGATACTTTGACCATTGCTGCACTGCCTAGTGGTCTACTAACTCGAAAACTTGCCGAAAAACAATGACTATAATTTTGTCAGCATGTTTGTTGCCTATATGGGAAATCATATACCTAAAATGAGTACCGATTCATACTTGCGCCACGATTTAGGGCACTTTAAAGATATTCTTTTGACGAACTTGACGTTCGTTTCGCCGTCTAATAGGATTACTGGTTCAGTTAAGTCTATTTCAAATTAATATCCAAAAAACCCAGTCTGCTGGTAACGTATTATCAGTGACGTCATGAACACTGATGAAATGTCGATCTCAG